TGGCAGTTGTGCATGATTGATTCCAGCAGCAACAGCTTCATTATAGCAGTAACCCTAAAATATAATAATAATGATGATAAATAATAATTGCAATTACTTTGTAGCGATTATGATCAACCAGTCCGCCTATGACATATACTTTATCATCAGATAATTCTATACAATTAGACCCATTTCATAATTATTATTCATTACATTTAAAGTATACCTGTTAGTATATTAGGTGATTCAGCAGCTAAAAATACAATATCTTTTTGTTCAAAAACATCTAAATATTTCTTTTCGTGAAAGTGAACGTCCCATTTATCATATCCCTCTAGTGTCTCCATTGCTTCCTTTACAGTCCCGCTAAGACTTGTCATGTACAGTTGCAATGGCTTGACAGAGTGTCTGTTCTCTGAATAGCACCTCTGACACTGCTTAATTAACATTCTAATATCCTATAGAAAATAATGTAACTATGGTTCTACATCCAAGCACTATACTGTATTTCTCGAATACTGTGGTGCATTTTTAACTGCATACAAAAGAGGAGCTTTACCTTTTCAGTCATTAGCTCAGAGTAGCCTAGTTCTATGGCAACTCTCACTTTGCTGGCATCACTGCATGACATTGTCTTTGTCAGTCCTATACAAAACAGTACACAATAGCTCAGTATCCACTGTCTATAATTGTTGTTAACTTTTCGTATGCTTTGGCTTCTTCTTTTGAAGTTTTGACTTTCTTTGTGGAAACAGAGCAGCCAGTGCGAACAATATTAATTGCAAAATAATATTATTATTTCTCTTACTCTTTCATTTGAAGTTTTTTGAACATTATTTTAGCTTGTTTCTTTCTCTGCGTCTTTGTCAAGTCATCTGGTAGTGAAGATTTTAGTTTTTCCATAATTTCCTTCCTTTTCTCTATGCTTGCTCCATCCATTGCTTCAGCCATTGTCCGTTTTCATTCGTACTCTTTCCGTGCACATTAAAGCTAAAAACTATCCGTAGACTCTCTCCGTATACTTGAAGCCGGTTGGGGCATTGTCTCGGTTCAGAGCTAGAGGAATGGCTCTTCCATTCCTTCTCTCTTTTCTCTTGCTGTTTATGGCAGGAGATGCAAATAACTTTCCAGATTTGGAGTATGATGTAGACACTGCTTTAGTCTGGAAATGGTGAGTTATTGTACTTATCCCGGATTGTAAGCATGTATATATATCTCTCTCCCTCTCTCCTAGCCCTCTTTCTCCTGACAATAATACAACAGTATTATATAGAGATAAAGACTATCAATACGTTGCATCATCTCAAGAACTGTTGAATAAAAATTGTACTTTTGTATCAAATATGTTTCAGTTGCTATCTGCTTTTGATGAGCTGAAGGAGCAAAATGAAGCAATGGAATCTAAAATTGTAAAGAGAGATGTATTTCATAGTTCTTGGTTTAAACAATATGTAAGTCGGGATTCAATGCATTTATATTGCATTCAAAGTTTCCAACAAAACATGCTAAGTGAGCTAAACAGCATGCTTTATTAGCTGACAAGCACTACAATACAGTACATGGCATTTTGAGCCACTTTAAAAATTCATTAAAAATCCAAATGTGATCAAAATCAGCTCAAACTTTCTATGCAACATAAGAACATGTATATGCATCAGTAAAAAATTTAAAATGGAGATTTCTCTTCTCGTGATTTTGTCAAAATTTCCTGTTACTGGGTTTCTGGCCCAATTTTTGAGCAATTTGACAATCCGATGACATGAGCACTTGCCAATATACTGTGGGAAACTCTGATTCCATTAACCTTTCTGATTTTTGTAGCATAATCTCAGTGTTATGTATGATTGGTACAAATCATTAGCTCATGAGTATTCATCAAATGTTGCTGTAAAGAGCATTGGTAAAACAATAGCTGGTAGAGATATACTGGCTGTAGTGATAGGAACTGATTCAAACCAACCTGCTGTGTACTTCCAATGTCTAGTGCATCCAAGTAATGTCCATTATTATTATTATTATTATTATTATTATTATTATTATTATTATTATTATTATTATTATTATTATTATTATTATTATTATGGTTTTCCACTAGGAGAATGGATTACTGGCCCAATGTGCATGTACTTAACACAGCTATTGGCAAGAGCTGATTCATCTAATAATATTGTAAGTTTGTAACATTAAATTAAATGGTATTTAAAAAAAATTTTTTTTCACTAGCTCTTCAGTTTATTACAAAAATATCAATTTATTATTGTACCTGTTGCTAATCCTGATGGTTATTATGTAAGTCAATTAAATCATTCCGTTAAGTAACTGTTATTAATAGTT